CAGCCACGTAAGCCAATTTGCAAATCTTATTGATGGTTACTGCTAAAAAGAAGAGTCATTATGGCAAATATTGTTATAGCTTAGTGAACCGAGCTTAGGACGCTGATAGCCATAGTGTATAACTTCTAGTTATCAATTAGCAATTGAGCTGAATGCCATATTCCATGTTTGCACGAGTTACTGTGAGGTCTTAAAGGACAAGTTCACCTGTGGAAAAATGTTACATTTTCCACCCGTTTATAGAGTGGAACATGTTCCCATAGCCGCAGCAGCACCTGCCGCCCCCCCCCTCAATTTGACAGATAGTACGGGTAAACGTCTCCCTGTACTATCTGTCATATTTAAAAACAGCGTGGTCGTGCGGGGCTCCACCCACATGGCGGCATCACTCATTCACAGTGATCTGCGAATGAGTGCCTACAAGTCCCAACAACCTAAGAGCTGTGGGCTTGTAGTTTTCAATTAACTAGCACAGTGCTGTGGAGCGCCATGGTAGTTCATTGAAGCTTCCTGTTAATATATCCTGTACGGGAAACAGTTATTCTGACAGGTCTGCAGGAGACCTGCATGGCATCAGCGATCTAATGATCACTGGTGCAATGCTTTCCCGGCTCCTTTGGACAAAAAAAAAAAAAAAAAATGTGCATTTATTATTTTTGTCCAAAAGGTCAACTTATCCTTTAAGGAATAATGCGGACGATGTTTCTATTTACCAAGACATACCATGCATCACAAATGGTGCACAATATGGAAATCTACTCACCATGATAGAAGTCAGGATCTCTTGCATGGTGCCTGGCAGTGGGCTTGTTTGTGACTTTGAATTTCCCATGCTGCCCATTAGGTTAACAAGTACAGGAGGCAGCTTAGCACCAGATGACAGGTCTGGAGATTGAGACCCTCCAATCTGGTCCATGGATTCAACATAGGAGCTATCATCCACAGAACAATCCTATTGGATGTAGAAAAAAAAAAAAAAAAAAAAAAAAACGTGGTTTGTAATAAAATATACTTTTACATACCTGAGTTATAGATAGCAATAAATGATTATATTATTTAGTTACAAAATATATCAGCTGAAAGATCTTATTTCTTTTGACCTGAAAACAAGCAATGCTCTGATGTGTTCATCAAAGGGCAACTGTAACCTATTAAGAGAATTTCCTTGGTTCATTTACTTACCTTAAATTTAGTGATCTTCTCTGTGTATTCCTGCACAGCCTTTCCACTGAAAATACTCTTCCTAGGCCCTATTTCTATAGGCAAGCCATACACTGCTGGACCCCTGGGGGCATCATATGTATGGCTTACCCATGAATGAACAGGGCTGTGGCATCCACACTACATGGAAGACTATACATGGACATCTTCAAAGACAAGGCCCTGTGGTCCTAAGCACAACTGTAAAGTGAAGTACACAGATTTCTATCTCTTCTTTTTTTATGCGAGATAGGTAGGAAAAGGGGGATGGGGGGGGGGGGGCATTTTTAGTATGAGTTAGGCTTTACTACCACACTTTAAATAGGAACTAAAACTCTGCCATCTTAGCCTCTATTGATCTGCAGTTGCCATGGTGCTGCACACATGATCAGTTAGGATACCAGCAATTTGATGACTTGACAATTCGTTTGACAGCTCAATCAAACGGGACAGTTCTCATCCACAGGACGCTCTGAATATAACTGTTTTGTTAAACAGTTAAATTGAAGGGTTTAGTTCCACTTTAGTAAAAAAAAAAAAAAAACTCCACACACAACAATTGTACCAAAGGTAAAAATGTCCTTTAATACACAGAATCCACCCAACATGGAAAGTATGTAGCTTATTATTATAACAATTATAGATGAAGGTAAATATTTAAAGGAGAACTTTGCCTTTAGTAAAGTTAACCTTTAATGACCCCCTTCCCCTAAATGCAGCCCACCAGGAATAATACTTAACGCTTAGCTTCCTCCGCAATCCAGTGATCTTTTCTTCAAGGCCCTGGCTGGCTCCACTTTATACTGCACATGCATCATGTGACTCCATTTAGTCTATGTGCAAGTCATACTCAAAGGGACTGCTGGAGGCCATGTGTACGGCTTACTCACATGAATGAATGGAGTCATGGTGTGCATACGTAATATGAAGGAGAGATGGCAAGAGCGTTGGAGGAAATTATCATTGGATTGGAAAGGAAAATTATCTTAGATGGGCTGCATGCTGGGGGATGACAAAATTGTGGCTTGAAGTAGTGGCTTAAAAAAATTACCTCATCCAGTGGTATGAGCTTTGGAGGCGCCGGTTCATAAGGCTCAGGGTCTGGCTCATGTGGAGTATCAGGAACACTGTAGGAAGCAATAAAAGTTAGTTTTAATGTGTCAGCCTAAATAAAATAAAGCACGGATTTAAAGCTTGTGCACATACCATGCTGTAAAAAACAAAAAACAGACTTGTGTGAAATGTGTTCTACAATACTTGATGTACATAACTTACCTCTCCTTAGAGAGAAAAAGCTCTTGCAGAATGCCCATCTCCCGCTCAGCTTGCGTGTGCTTTTCTGTGCTGTTGCTTCCCATTTGAACAAGTGACCCTGTGAGTGAAAATGGGCGTGGAAGAACCCAAGGAATGGCTTCCTCCATGGCGTCATGGCTAAGCCGGCGGGCATTTTGGAATGCCTGGCGGTCCTTCATCATCTCTCGTTTGGCAGCTTCACCAAAGTCCCTAATCTTGTTCACATTAACTGTAAGTGGACATACAAAAGGAAAAAGACTGTTATAAGCACAAAGCTATATGGATTACAAGGATATAATGCCAAGAGAGATTAGATATTCTATGTACCCCTCTCTGTTTCATCTAACTCAAAGTAGAAGTACTCCCGAAGTTGACTCTCATCTGGCCAGCTAACCGTTTTCCTCTTCTTTCCTTTTTTAGTTAGTTGAGGAACTTCTGGATCAGCAGATTTCACTTCTGCTGGGGCAGGAGCAGGGGCAGGTGTAGATGCAGGTACTGCTGCTGCAAAATGGAAGGAAAAATTAGCCATATGAGAAAAATGCACAGAAGGAGAAAAGGTCAGTAATGGTTACAGCTCGGAAGAGTATAGAATGAGGACTTACTTTCCATAGGCTCAGGAAGTTCAACAGGAACTGGAGTGCCAGGTCGTTCCACTTCCATTGCCTCAGCTAGGAGCTCTGGTTCTGGAGAAGAGGGCTTGGTGACCACTACTACATCTCCTTGGGGTTTGCTGTCAAATGGACTTGGCTATATACACAAAACAGATGTGGTTTTAGGTCTCTGTACGGCAGTTACAACAACATCCTTGTATCTGTATTTCTAGAATTACATTTCCCAGAACAAGTCAATATATTAGGCTACCATAAAAACATTCCATTTTTTTACAGGCAATTAAGTTACCTTGTTGCTAGTTGGAGAAACCGCTTTCTTCTTCTTTTTAATCTTAAGTCCAGGTACTGGTGCTGAATTCAGTGCATCCAAGAAACCTAAACTCTCCATAGCTACAGGGGAAAAATGTAGGATATTATTTAAGAGTTTAGAGCAGAACTTTACTCTCTTAAACAACATTGACTATTTCTAATCCTTATGCTGGTAGCATTAGTATATAGATAGGAAGGTATATCATATTTGTTTTACATTTTTTTTTGTTTGCATTTCTTTAGTTAATTTCTGGTTTCCATGCCTAGGCAAATGATGCCATATATCCCAGGAGTCTGAGAAGGGGAGGGAGGGTTCACAGCTTAGCACATGCCTGAGCTAAGGGCAGGGGGATTCCAGGAAATAAATGCTACATAAATCATCTGCCCTTTCTCAAGATGGCCATGGCTAGAAATGCTGGGGGAATGGGGGGGGGGGTGTAAGATGACTTGTCAGCAAAATAAAGCATGGAGACATGGATAGATGGATGGCTTGGGGGGGTCAGTTAGCTTTGAATATTGAAAATTAATTATATGGCATTTTTGTTTTGTGGAGCTCAGATGCAGTGCAGTTCCACTTTGATACATGGCACAGTTTGACCACTTGCCCTCTGGAAGGTTTACCCTATGCATCAGAAGGTAATTTTTTTTTTTTTTTTTTATATATACGGCGCTACACAACTTCGACAATTGCGTAGTCATTCAACACTGTACACAAATTAAATTTAAATATTTTTTTCCCCACAAATAGAGCTCTCTTTTGGTGGTATTCAATCACCACTGGGTTATTTATTGCATTATAAAAGGAAAAAAAAGTGACCAAAAAGGAGAAAAAAAATATTTTTTACTTTTCGCTATAAAACATATCTAAAAATTAAAAAAAAATCTTCATAAAATTTAAGCAAAATGTATAAGTATTTGGTTTACATGAATGTTATAGTGTCTATACGACGGTATATATACACGCTGGAATTCTTTTCTTTTACATGAGTAATGACGGTGACCAACTTAAAGCGGGGCTGCGCTGCGAGTATGGCAGGTATTCTGACACTGGTTAACGGACATCAGCAGTGACACTAATACAGTGACTAGTGCTAATAAAATGCACTGACACTAATGACACTGGGCAGAAAGGGGTTAACATTTGGGCAAAGGGTTGTGTGTCTAACTATGTGTAATGTGTGCAATATGTGCGGCTTTACTAATGGATGTGACCATTTTTGTCTCCCTGCTTCTCCTTCCCCAGCTCTTCTGCAGCTGAGAACAGAGGGTATGTAATCACTCTTAAAAAAAGAAAAAAAAAAAAAAAAAAAAAAAAAAAAAAAAAAAAAAGGTATTTATAATAATCTATACACAAATGTTTTGCCTTTCAAAACAATCACTTTAAAGTGGAAGTTCAGGCAAAAGCCAAATAAGGCCACACCTACTCCCTCCCCCATTCTAAGCTATTCTATCTAAGTCTGTAAAGAACAGATCTGTATACTTTCCTATTCTGAAGCTGCTCCGGTCAACTCTTCAGCAGCAGCTTCTGTATACAGGAGAGATTGCCGACAATGGCTGGAAATGCCTAGGAGATGATGTCACCCAAAACTTACTGTGGGGCATCAGTTGTCAGCTGCACCTCTACACAGAAATCGCAGCTGACAGATGATCCTGGGAGCAGACCAAATCACCTTCAGAATAGGCAAGTATACAGATCTTTTCTTTACAGGGTTGGATAGAAGAGGCTTAGAATGGTGGTGGAAGCTGGTTTAGCATTAGTTATGTTTTACCTTAACTTCCACTTTAAAATAGTTTATGTGGATTGAGAGTTTAAGCTTTCACTTTAAGTCCTGGTTCACACTGATGTGGTGTGGGAAAGCGCATGCGATTTGGACAGGAATCACACTGCATTCTTGTTCAAATCACATGCTATTCTATGTAGTGCGATTTGCACCCCCCGTGTAGATACACCTTTTTTGCACACTGGAATCAAAACACATGGGTATTCACCCACGTGATTCAATTCAGGCAATCGCACTGCGTTTTGCAACCATTTTTGGGATATCATTAATACGGACACACGCAGCGGTTCGCACGAACACAATGCGATTGTGATGCGGTGTGGAATTGCTGCAAATTCCGTACCGCATCAGTGTGAACTGAGACTAATGGAATACTAATCTTTCAGGATAAAAATGTTAGTCCCCAAGCTCAATCAAAATCACTAATAAAAAATAAACTACTAAAAACACAAACAAAACCAGTTTTTCACGTATATTTAGTTAAAAAGCCACGCACAGAACCACAGAATTGTACACCAGAACTTTCAAAGGCTATTTGCTCCCATGCAGGGCTGGATAGTGTAACTTGGAGCAGTGCTGGAAACTACAAGTCCCAGAATGCTTTGCTCTATCCTAGTATACAGTGTATAGTGGTCTGAAGGCTGGCCAATGATATTGCCTATTTCAGCAGACAGCAAAATTATCAGCGCTCCTTGAGTCAGTGCTTCCTCTTGGGAGCAAGCACACAAGGGTGACAACTCTACCTCTCCATAGAGTTAATTGCAATTGCAGCATTCTTACAATACAGGCAGCAATGCAGGGGCTATTTTTTTATGAGTGGTTTTTGTTTTTTTTTGTTGTTCTTTTTTTTATCTAAACCAGCCATAAAGATGGTAGACAGTAGAAAGAACATAAATATGGAACATGTAAGACATGTTTTTCATTAAGAGGGTTTAGATACACTTTAAAATGAACCTGAACCTCCCCTAATATGCCAGATCATCGAAGAATTTTTTTTTTTTTAAGACAATTAAACTCTTAGGCTTCAAGCGCCATATTGTGGAAGTCATGGGCAGCATCATGTTTCCCCATAATCAAAGTGCCCGTGTTTTTCATAGTGACCCAGCAGCAGAAAAGCACTAAAAAATTATTATTATTATTATATGAGCTTTTAGCAATAATGTGCACAGCATATTGGCACACTTTGGCAACCTTATCTGGCTAGTGATCCCCTCAAGCACCGAGTGTTCCCATCAGGTACAGGCGCTGTCCATTTCTCTTGGTCTTTTGGCCAACTGGTTGGTCACATTTACATGGGAGTCACATCACCACAACACAGAGCCACACCATAAACGTTGAGCTGCGCATGCATAGCTAAAAGTGCACAAATACTGACAGGCAGGGTGAAGGATTTATGACAGAAGAGACAAATAGGGTCTCTTCTGTCATAAAATCCTACCCTTCAATGTGTTTTTTAGGTTTAATTCCAATTTAAGTGAACTTTGAAATAATGCAACCATTGTAAATTAAGGAATACTTTAAAGTAGGTTATGACACATACGCTGTGGAGGAATGATCTTCACTTTGATCTCCTTGGTAGAATTTGGTGTAGCATTAAGTGGCTTGTATTTCTTTTCTGCAGGTGTTGCATCACTGGGTGGTGGAACCGAACTGGTAAAGACAACAAATGTAAGCAAAGCAATACAGCTGTAGACATAAAATAAATGTAACGCAGGTTGCATTTTAAAGCAGTTTTAATAAAATGCATTTATTTGGAAAACAATCCCTTTAAATTAGTCCATTGTTACCTTGTGCATCAACAGGCCGTCTAAACCCATTGACTACTGGGAACTGTTGTCCGAGTGAGCATACATTATAATGTTTTAATACTGACAGTCTCCACTTTTTTTTCTCACCTTTGTCTTTTTACAGGAACGGGTTTCAAGTATTTGTCTGATATAAGTGGAACAGAAGCTGGTTTCTTAATGGGAGCTTGTGATGGTGTTTCCACCTCTAGACCTGTGTTAGGGTAAAGGAACAAAATTAATCAAAGACAATATAAAAGATTTATTTATAGAGAACAGTGCTTGTGGTCACTTACCTGTAGATCTGAACTTTGCATGACTAGGGGCAGTAGTGCGCAGAGTTTTTGGCTTTTCTCTCTTTCTATCTGCTTGGTCATCTATACAGGACTCAGCTTTGGCTTCTGCAGTCTTATCAGCCACAGTAGATCGTCCTTTTGTATCATCTTTCTTTTTCTTTTTCTTCTCCTTTTCTAGAGAGTAAGAATAAAAAGGTTTTACAAAATAAAAGTGCTACATGCAAGTAGTGAATCTGTAATTATACCCTTTAATATAGGCTGCACCCTCTTTAGTTACCATATCATGTGACAGCAGAATGTGTTATGTGAACAATTTTGTTTTATATGCATAGGCAAACATTAAGCTCTAAAACTATTAAAATGTAATAAACAAAAAGAGACAGTTGTGTGTTGTATCTTTTTCTCCCAGACACTGGTGTGCACCCTTAAGGCTCTCCTACCAGAGAAAAAAAAAAAAATAATATGCTTTGGAGCTACCACCATTAACCTGTACTGGCCCATCAATGCTCTAGCTTAAAGGATAAGTTCACCTTTCGTAACATGTTACACCCATATTCAAAGTGTAATATAGAACAATCAGACTAGCCCCTGCTCTCGCTTTGACAGCTAGCGTGGGGGGGATCCTCTTCCCCCTCGCTAGCTGTCCCATTAGAAAAAAACCCCCAAAAAAAACAGTCCTATGGGGCTTCGCCCGCCCGGCAACGTCACTGATTCACAGTCCTCTGTGAATGAGAAACTACAAGTCCCGACAGCCTTAGCAGCTGTCAGCTTGCAGTCCTCAATGAACTACTACGGCACTGTGGTAGTTCACTCATTCTTCCTGTCAATATATCTTCTTGCTCGTACATCCCTTACAGGAAAGCAGATATACTGACAGATCTACAGGAGACCTGCATGGCACCAGCAATCTGCTGTCAAAGCTGCAGAAAAAAGTAATAAATGCACTTTTTTTTTTTTTTCCTGCAAAAAAAAAAAAAAAAAAAATAAAAATAAAAATGTGCATTTACTTCTTTTTACTAAAAGGTGAACTTATCCATTAAAGAGACTCTGTCACATTCTTGCCCATGCAGGGCATATGGGCAAAGTGATGCTGGCTCTGCAAAGCATCACCAAACCACCCTGTACTCATCTTCCCGCACAGTTTAGGAGATATTCACTTTTTCTGCAGCTGGTGTCTTTACTGGCACATGCATACTGCTCTGTGAAGGGATGGCATAATGAGTATGCCATCTCTTCAAAGCGCTGTGCAGCGATCACGGCTCCTGTGCACATGCATTCAAACAGCCATAGCCCAGAACCCTGAAGGGACCAGGTGAAGATGGAAGCCCTGTCAGCAGTGACAGCATGCCGCTGGAGAGCTTTGTTTTAAACTAGGCCTTTCACAATATTCTAGTATGGAATGCATACTAGTACATTATGCCCTTAACTTGTAGGGGGAAGGTTTTTTCCCCCCCAGACTTCACCATCGCTTTAATAATGTCACATGACCAGAACGGCATCACTTTTTCCTAGGTTGCCGACACAGATTTCAGTAGCAATTTAGCAATTGTAGAGCAGCAAAGCAGCACAGAAGGTGAGTAATTGGAGGTTGGAGGCTGACCTTTCCAGAGACAACTGTATAGACTAGGTACACTAGCTGACAGAGTCTCTAGGTACAGCCCTGCTAATAAAACGTAATACCACCACTCACCAACAGGTAAAAGATTACTCTGGGTCCTAATTACAGTCATCCAGTCATTGACAAGTATAAGTGCTAACTTCCGAAGTTCTGAGAAAAAAAAAAAGGAAGACAGATGTAAACATACTTCCAAACGCCAGAAACACATTGAACTATTGTATATCAATATAAAGTATGTACCATACCTTCATCCTCGCTGGTTTTGCTAAGCTGCTTCACTAGCTTGGCTGTGTTATTCTGTAAATTCAAGACAGAAGATATTAGATAACACAATACTAGAGTCTGCATCCTGCATACAGATGATCAAAACATCAGAAAGACTTACCAACTTTAGGTGGTCCACTGTCAATGGTAAGTGCTGAAGGGTCAGCAGAATTTGATAAAGCAAAGGGCTGTTTTTGTTGTTCCGAGCATATGTCAGCCAAACATTTAAAAGCTTATATCCTCCAACCCGGATGAACCTGAAACATTCAGAAAAGGTGGTCAAGTCCACCAAATATATAAACATATACATTTAAAAATACAGAACCCTGGAAATGCAGTAAATTTATATCCTCAGATTCATATTTGTTATGTACAAAAACCATTTACTTTATAGCATTATGCTGAAAATAAACAGATAAGTGAAACACCTATTGTAACATGTTTTGATTCAGAGTTGCTCAGCAGTGATTTGCCAAGTAGACCTATACTCTAAATACTTCACTTAAAAAACAAACACAATATACACATCCCTATGTCCCGCTAACAAAGGCTATAAGGTGGTTAAACACTGAATTGCCACCACAACTCTTTTTATGCCTTTTTGCCCTTTGGTGCCAGTGATGGGGTCTATCTTGAATAGGAGGACTGAAAATCAGACAACCACTGATTACCTAATTCTACTTGAATTAACACACAGACCACATGACTAATGGCTTGGCATTGATTATGCGATTCCTGGAAATTTCAGAACTTTATACAGCTTACAAAAAATGCCTGCTAGGTGCTGTTTAAAAAAATACAGGTCCACTTTAAATGTAAGAGATCTGTGAACATCAGAGCAGAATATAACAGTCTTGAAAATAGAATTTATAAATCACATCTGCTGCTTACTTAGAAAGTAGTTCTGGGGCATGTGTCTGGCATATGATGTTCAGGTAAATACACCGACTGACCATCTTTTGAGATTCTTTCATCAAGCTGAAAGACAATTAAAAAATGTAAGTATGAGTAATAAAACAAGATTTAAAACCAGCAATTACAGTCACCAGTAATTTTTTCATGTTCTTACTTGTATATTTTTGTTACTCCATTAACAGCTTTTACTTCTCCCTTTTGCCCCAGCAAACAATCCAGGCCCTTGAGCAGCTCACTGGGATCTATTGGTCCTGACCCCATTTCACCAAGCTGGAATAATGAAAACAGACAGATAAGGACTCCATTATATTTTGATATACATGGATATGTAGCATATCAATATACATGTTAACTGGGGGATAATCTGGATAATCTAGAAATTCACTTTGAAAAAATATTAAAAAAATTGAAAAATAAAAAAAAAAAATTTAAAAAGCATATTTTTGTTATGTTTGTTTTTCAGGGTTTTTGTTTATGTACAATAGATATGATTGATAGTGTCAAGTACACCCACTAAGAGCTTGTAAGAATTAGGTTCAATGTGGCTATATATTACTAATTATATTATATAATCATGGGTTACAGTGAGTATCTAAAATCTGCAAAGGGCTACACCAACCTAATCCCGAAAAATATTACTAAACTTAATTTATTACAAGTGTGAGTTTTATCCTGCACATAATACCAGTGCTGTGATATGCACAGGGAACAGTTGTTTTCTTTGTGCCCTTACAAAATGCGTGCAGAAAAATCTCTGCTCCATGGTGTGAACGAGACCTTAAAGGATAAGTTCACCTTCCATAAGGTGTTACACCCATATTTAGGGTGTAACATCAGGACTGGTCCCCGCTCCCCTGTTTTGACAGCTAGCAAGGATCTTCTTCCCCAAATGTCAAAATTTAAAAAAATGCGGACATGTGGAGCTCAGCCCACGCCACTCATTCAGAGTCCTTTGAATGGAAAACTACAAATTCCGACAGCCTTTGTGGCTGTCGGCTTGTACTACTCAATGAACTACCACAGTGCTGTGAGCATCGTGGTAGTTCATGGATTCTTCCTGCCAGGAAGTATTGGCTTGCCCATATGAAGTACTAGCAAGTAGATACACTGACAGGTTTGCTGAAGACCTGCATGGCATCAGCAAGCGACTGATTGCTGGTGCAATACTTTACATGCTCATGACACAAAAAATAGTAAAAAAAAAAAAAAAAAAAAAAAAAAAAAAGAAGTAAATGCACATTTTTTTACATGCAATAAAATGTGCATTATTTTTTATGAAAAGGTGAACTTATCCTTTAGGTTAGGTTCACACCTATGCAGTTGGCGTTTGATCCGTTTCTGCAGTGCTTTTTGAGGTGCGGTTTTTCCCCAAATGCTGTTTTATTTATTTATTTTTGCCAACTTGTTGCTGGGCAGATTAAAAACGAAAAATTGCATAAAAAATACAGCACTTGCGTTTTATATGCTGTTCCATTGACGTCTATTGGACTAAAAAACACAAACTGCTGTCGGAAAAGAAGCCCCTGGCCCTTTCCAAAAAACACTGTAAAGGAATAGTGAATAGGCCACATTTTAAGTAGCCTCTGTTAAATTGTTATGTTCCGGGGAGGTGGCGGGCACTTTATGGTTTCTATTGAGTTGTCAAAATGTAACATGGCCTATCAAATCGTGATGACACTACAAGAATGTATGCTAAAACACTGCTTTCATTTATTTCATAGTTTTCAGCCATCCTATGACATATTCATGCTCTGAAAACTAATCTAACTTATTGGGTAAAAAAGTTTTCAGCACCAAAATTTAGACGAAAAGAAAACCTTGACCCTAAAAGATAAACATTATGGCTGCCACAAATGTGAGCTTTAGGGGACCACAGGCCACCACTTTTTTTTTGGTCTATTGGTTTATATGAATTAGTGCCAGAGTTCTATTACTATTATATTGATCAAGCTGACCTTAGTCTCAACACTAAAGGCTCAATTGTCTAACCTAAAGCAATCATTTACCATAAACGTTATTATTGCAAATAAAATAGGTTAACCGTATCCAAAACTTGACTTGCATTTAAATCAATTTTGAATGTGTGGATTTATAACAAATCTGTTATACAATTGACCTGTGCACACCTTTGCGGTGCGCTGCTGTGCAGTTCTGAACACACAATGTGTATTGTGTTAAGGCAGCCCATTCATTTACAATTGACTTTCAGCACACCAAAAACCATACCTGCACCTTTATTACCCTATGATACACACCGGAACTCAAAGTTGTATGATACGATGTTTCACTACCATACAGGTTACATGAACAAGTGTATTGGGGTGCCATTCAGAATGAATAGCACCGCAATGTACTAATGCATTCATGCTCCTAGATTGTAAGCTCCAAGGAGCAGGGCCCTCCTTTCCCTCTTGCATTGAACTGTATTGTTGCTGTATTGTCTCCCATTATATTGTAATGCGCTGAGCAAACTGTTTGCTATATAAATCCTGTATAATAATAATAATGTTGCAGTACTACAATATTGTGATGCCTGTCTGACAGTTTTTCTTCTGGTAGCAAGCTTTGGCTGTGTTTATTAGAGTGAAGCTCATGTCAGTAAGGTTTATGAGGCAATTAACTTGCACTATATAGCATAGGCTGCTTAACCTTCCTATATTTAGTTCCCAAGTGTCGGCATATTGTTTTCTGGGACCCCAAATGTCTGTGATATTTATAGGATCACAAAAATGGAATAGTCATAGTTTACAATCTGGGAGGCTCAAAAATGTATTGCAGGACACAATGCTGGGGCCCAATCCACGTGATGTACACCAAAATACTAAAGTACATATAGATGACACAGAACAATCATTGAATAGCTGTTAGTAATATTAGCAGAGAGGGTAAAATGTATAAATGCAGTTTTTATAATCTAAGAAATATGAAAAAGATACGGCTGTGCTTTTAGGTTGAAATAACAAATTTAAAGTACACCTGTCAGGAGTGAATTATGGAGGCCACCATTGCCGATGTCCCCTTTTGGGGAATTTTAGTTCGCCGACTGATACCAGGTTCTTTAGCTTCACACTTTGAGTTGCTGACCCAGAATGAGTAAAGAAAGAAGAAATTGTTACACTTTTCTGACACTTTATTTACAACATGGGCTTGTTTCTGATCTGTTATTTAAATGTATTGACGCCAGGCAACTAGCATGTGCAAGAGGATTCAGCAATGGTAGCCCCATAGGTCACCCATGACAGGGGTACTAAACAAGATATTTATATAGCCATCTTTCTTGATATTGCTATAGAAAAGAAATAAATTGTGTGATGGGATGTATAGCAACCTTCATTTGGTCAAACTGTTAGTCCAGACTCAGATATTATACAATGGAGGTGCTTTGTTTCCTTCACACATAAGGACTATTACATTTGCAAACACCGATGGTTTCTTGAACATGGTTTACACTGTATGGCATGATTTTGACAAGGAGTTCATAAAGCTGCAGAGAAGCCTTGTGTAAAGAGTTTTGTTTCTTCTAAATTTATAACTTTTTTTGTTCTAGATGATGAATAGATTTGAGAAAAGTCGGAAAAATTCTAAACCTCAGTCTACATTATGAACGTTGTAAACTCACACCACCCCTGGGCTGACCTCTAGCATGACTAGTCAGAACAGCTGCTTGCATTGCCCTTCGCTGTTAATAGACTTTCTATAGCAGAGGCTGGAGGACACATGTATCTGTTTCTCCTTTAACAGATAGAGGGAGATGGGGAGACTTGGAAATTATGAAACAGTCTCCTCCCATCTCAAACCAAGACTGCTCCTCCGGCAACTGAAGCGTACACACTCACACACAGGCTCTGCACTCTGTCGGATGAACACACACACTGATAATGCCATTCAACACGCACTTCTAATACCATGTCACCAGGCATAAGCTCAAATTTGGAGGCAAGAACGCACATTTTAATTTTATAGAATAGAAAGACTGTTACTCTATCAAGTAAATTATATATGCATGCAAATGTGAATATATTATATAATTCAGGAGAAGTGTGCAGGATTACAGTGGACATTATTGTTCATAATGTCATAATTCATACTGCACCAAGAGAGAAGAGTATTCTGCACTGACGGAACTGTTATACACTGTACAGAAGTATGCTTAAAAATGTAATCCATTTATCAAAACTGGATTTCTAAAAAGTTAAAGCATTATTTTATTTAAAAAATTTGATGTTAATAATAAACATGTTATACTTACCTCTTCTGTGCAACAGTATTGCACATAGTGGTCTTGAAAAACTCATCTTCTGGGGCCCCCGGCCAATGCTCTTGGCTACTACATAGCAAGCGCTGGCTATGGGGGCAGATGTGTGGGCTTGTTGCCAAACCAGGTTGTGTGTCCATAGACACACACTTCAGCTTGGTCCCGCTCACTCCTCTTACAATTTGATTGACAGAAGCAGGAACCAATGGCACCTGCTGCTGCCTCTGAGTTCTGTGAGGAGCAAGAGCGAGCAGCGATGCTGCTCTCAAGCACAGGGAGCTGACACTGGAAGGTTTTTTTTGTTACCTTAATATGTAGAATGCATTAAGGTGAAAAACATCAGGCCTTTAGAACCACTTTAAACCAGATTATACTATGCCATACCATCATTTATATTTTGCTGGGAGTATGGCATCAGACTTTAAGGTGGAACTAAAGTCTAAAATTTAAAAACTGCAAGCAGGCAGGCTCTTTATTGCAAATGTCTTTACTGAGTTGCACACACCAGGGGCGGACTGACAACTCATGGGGCCCCCGGGCAATAGGGGTTCATGGGGCCTCTGTGTCCTTGCCCAAACTCAAAAAAGCATATGAAAAAGGTACCAGGGGCATCTCATGGGGCCCCCTACTGACCCCGGGCCCTCGGGCAGTGCCCGAGTTTCCAAATGGTCAGTCCGCCCCTGGCACACACAGCTCAGTTTAGATTCCAGTACAGTGCCTGTGTGCCCAATGACTTAAATCCTGCACATGCGTGGGAGTGACATCATCCTAAATCGGCCAATTGAGAAGGTCAAAGATCGGCAACCACAAGAACCCAGAAGTCAGCCCCTGCGAGGGACCTGGCAAATGTGGGACAGCTGAAGCGGAGGTAAGAATTGCATACTTCAGTTACGCTTTAAGGCTTGGTTCACACTGTTGTGCTGCATTAGTGCATTGTGGCGTGCTGCAGAACAGAAAAAAAAAGGGTTTGGTGCATTAGGCATCCCATTCAAATGGTAAAAAGCAT